GCTTTACATACTAGTATTATTCCATCTGTACAGTTATGGGATGTTTTTCAGTCGTGCCCCATGACCCCTTGGCTGAGACCCATGGCATCCTAGCAATCCTCTCAGAATCAAGTGTCATGGACTACCCTGTGGTCTTGGACGTGCTAAGAAACAAGCGCGTATATGGCTATGGTGCCCCACCGGTAGCCCACGCCCAGCAGCAGGCAATGCTCATGTAAGGCCCCGTAAAAGTTTTCCTAAAAACCCAGATTTCGTGATGCCAAAGTAGGCGTAGAGGTTAATAATAGTAGAGGTTCGTACTTTTTGGATTGAACAGTGCGCTAGGGAGTTGAAGAAAAATGTTGGGCAGAAGTAGGCATTTTTGTGGCCTATTATGCGGCCGCAGAACCACTCTGCGGACCGCAGACTGGTCGGAGAGTGGGACAGTTTTCTGGGGCATTTTTTATGCTAATTTCGCGTCCATTATGCGACCGCATAACCGTTTCGTAGGACGCACTTTGATCGCATAATCATCCTTAGACTTTTTCGGAGGGAGGTTCTGCGGTGCACTATGCGATCGCAGAACCGTTCTGCAGTGCATTATGCGACCGCAGAACAGGTCTGCGGGCTGCATAGTGACCATAGACCAGGTCAGTTTCTTTTCAGTTCTGGCATCCATTTTTGCAGTCATTTTGCGGACCGCATAACCACTATGCGGTCGCATATGCGACCGCAGAATCTGTTCCGGAGCTTCAATTTTGGAATTTTTAAACCCGACCCTATTCCGTTAAAACACATCCCATAGGTCATTTTGAGCTTATTTTCTGATATTTTTAGAGTGAGAGAGAGGATCCTAGAGGGAGAAGTGATCTTCATCAAATTTCTCTTCAATTCTTACTTAAAACCTTGAATATTATCAAGAGAGGCACCTAGGTCTTCTTTCTAAGAGGTAAGATTCTATCACCCAAACTCTTAATTTCAAAATGTAACTAGAATGGGCCATTAGTAAGGTAATTCATGGGGATGGGAGTGCTTACCTTGCATGCATGTATTCCTAAGGTATGTGGAGAGGTTGTGAGTTAAAGATAGAAAGGAATGGGGTGTGGGTTGATGGAGTATTTCACAAAAAAGGCCTTAAAATATTGATGCACACCGGGTGTTTGATAATATACTCAAATGAGGTAGAATCATGACCATCTTCCTAATTTTGGTCAAACTTGTTATATTTCTAAAATAGATTAAAGTTGCTAAGAATTCCGGATTATTTTAGAGTTTGAGAAGCTCAATTGAGGTATGTTGGCTAAACCCCCATCTTCTTAGAATCGAATCTCACGGTGTTCATGTAATTGGAGTAAGCCCTTTATCATTATAGAATTGGCGATTTCTAATGTGTTTGTGTTAAAGGATGTAAGTTTAATATTTACTCTAAATGCTTCATCATGTTATCTTGTTATTGAGAATGTGTTCAAAAATGTGAAATATATATTAGAAATGTTAAGATTTCATGTCAAGATCGAAATAAAGGTTATTATGCCAAATTGTATGAAAAGCCTCTATGTGCCTAAGATTCCCAGATTGCTCATATGTGAATTTAATATCTTGAATGGGAAGCCTTATTGTTGTTGATAATGATAATGATATTGAATGTGGAAAAGGGGTATGGAATTATTAAATACGGCCAAGTGCCAAGAATGACTTTGTAATCGTGATCACCAGTGCCAATGAATTGAAAGATATGAAAGAAGTATGATGTGAGATGGTTGACTGAAAATGGTAACGTCTTGGGTTAGACGGCCTAGCCGATCGGGCCGTGATCGGACGTCATGCCGCACACATGATGGTATTGTGCTGGAAATGATAATTGAAATGGTGGTTATGGTTGATGTCTCAAATGAGACGACCTAGCCGATCGGGTCGAGATCGGAATCCGTGTAAGAATACGGGGCATTGTGAATTGTGGAGATTGACTTGAAAACTTATGTGATCTTTAAATTTATGTTTTAATATTATTTGAAGCTCTTATTGAATTTTTGATTGTTCCTCTTGTATTATTATTCATTCTATTGAGTTGGTGTTTAGCTATACATACTAGTGCTATTCGACAATACTAACGTCCCTTATTGTCAGGGGCGCTGCATATTTATATGGATGCAGGTGGTTACATAGCAGATAGTGTTGATCACAGATAGTGTTGCATCCTCTTCTCAGCAGACTCGGTGAGCCCCATTTCATTCCGGGGTCATGTAATTATACCTTTTGTTTATATTGTGGTCACTTTTGAGGTATAGCCGGGGCCTTATTGCCGACACCATCTTTACTCTCTTTTGTATCTTTAGAGGCTCCGTAGACACTATGTGGGTTGTATATGGGTGTTGGGAATGTTAAACAAGTTATGTTGTGTTTTATCACTTTATTTCCACTCGAACTATAAGAAATGTGTATTTTGAGACTTAAAGGTGCAATGACTAATGAATTCCTACGGTATTATTAATGAAATCACATCTTTTCTTAATCATGGGTGAATTGGGTAGAAAGTATCTAACATGCTTGCTCGGCCGGGTTCAATCGGTTGAGCATCGCTCGCGCTTCCCGAGGTTGGGGTGTCACAACTCACAAGTGCCTGTCAACAGGCAATGACCTCTGTACCCACCCGTATCTAGCCCCTACAAGCATATGCCGGGCAGCTAGCGCCCGTACGCAGCGCACACTTATTGAAGCTACTGACAAGGATGGCATCCCTACAAGTACCGACAAATGGACCAGCTTTTCTTTTGTATAAGCCTAGATCCATTTCCATGTAAATATAGAGTAATTTTACTTCTTGTATTTGCACTATGTTTTTCTAGCTTATGTGTTTCTACTTCTATAACTTCAGTTTTCATTTTTAAGAAATATATAAGGAGGGTATAGTCATTTATGTTTTCTTCAAGCAATCAAATCTTTGTATTATTGTCTCCTCCTACCTCCCCCTCCCCTACCCC